TCGAATAAGACCCAGATGGTTGATTGATTGTAGGTCCATTGTAATATCGTTGATATGACAGAAACCAGATGGCAGCTGCTCGATGTGAACAAACTCCTACCTTTCTATCGCCACCTGGACAGTCGCAACAACTATTCAGAATATCTTGTGTAGAAAATGAAATGTAAGTATAATAGGTTTTTGTGTTGCTACAACGAGATCAATCAAACAACAACGTTTTTATGTTCACTTGCCTTGGTAGTTTTAAAGTGTTTGATGATCGATATTGATGCTGAAAAAAATGGCTTTGGTTCTAAAGCAAATAGCGAAGAACGAAAAGACACAAGATTCACTATGAAACCCGTATGATCCAATTGGAGGTTGTATGTCCTAGGCATTATTTAGAAGACAAGTTTTTTTGCAAGGCCTTGTCTTGGTAGTTTTGAAGCTTTTGATAATTGATATTGATCCTGAAAAAATGGCTCCGGTTCTGAATTGTATAGTGGAGAAAGAAGGTCAACAAGGTTACTTCTACAGGGATTTTTCAAGGATTTTTGGCATTGTGTATTTCAAATGGATACGAAGACAGATTTTTTCTGGACCTCTTGTCCTTGCAATATTGTAGCTCTCACTTATTCCTAGTGATCCTGAAAAAATGGCTCCGGTTCTGAATTGTATAGTGGAGAACGAAGGTCAACAAGGTTGCTTCTACAGGGATTTTTCAAGGATTTTTGGCACTGTGTACTTCAAATGGATACGAAGACAGATTTTTTCTGGACCTCATGTCCTTGCAATATTGTAGCCCTCACTTATTCCTAGTGATCCTACAAAAATCATTTCAGTTCTGAATCGTATAGTCGAGAACGAGGGTCCACAAGGTAACCCCTATAGGGTATTTATATGTACATTTAAGGTGTGGTGAAAGTAAAGGAAAAGTTCAACGGATCAAGTTGAAATTTTGTGTGGTGGCTACTGGTATATAGCTGAGTATTTGCTGAAAGTTTCACTCGGAACAACCTTTATATTCACAGTGGGCCAAAATCCCAGGATAACGTTCCCCGTCCTTTAAGTCATTCGATAAACAATCACATATACGATCACAAACTGACATTTCAGATGATAATCTTTTACAAAATTCTCAATTAAATAACAATATCTATACATTTACATTAAGTAACGAAGAAAATGAATTTCTACAAACTTTAACATTTAATATTGAAACTACTCTAAATGAACATTTTCAACATTTATCACAAATATGTTTAAATTATCTATTAGATTTTCTTTATACATATCATTATGATCGTGAACGACGACAATTTCTTTCACTATTAACTATCGGTTCATTATATTCATTTGCACTTGAATTAAAAGGTTTATTAGCTTCATCTGAAGCTTATCCTGCTGCATATAATGGTCAATTAGATCTTGTTAAAAAATTTATTAAAGAATATCCAACATTTAAAGATAAACCAGGTTTATGGGAAACAACATTATTATATTCAGCTGCACGAAATAATCATTTAGATATTGTTAAATACTTAATTGAAGAAGCACGTTGTTCTGTTAATGCTCAAAATTTACAAGAACTTGAAAAAGCTTTATTTACAACAAAAAAAGGTGGACATTATTCAGCTAATCCATCAGCTGCTTCGACATTACTTAAAAGATCTGGCAATGTAGGATCTTGATCATATTCGTCTTCTTCTTCTAATAGATCATCGTCTAATTCCGCAGTTGATGTCGTATGTTTGATTTGTGATATTTCTCGAAGTCGTTTTGTCGTGAAAGGTATTGGTTGAACATGAGCTAAACTTTCATAATTATCAACTTCGTGGATTTTATTTCGGTAACGTTCATCATTTGCAATCAATTTTGGAATCCATCGTATGTAACCTGATATCGTGTTTTCTCTATTTGTAAATGTAAATGCTTGAAGATCAAATTCTAAATCATTTCCTACAAATTTCAGATCCAAAGTTATTCATTTTTGTCGATAATTCATGGCCTTGTCAATATCTGAATTGATGGTTCTCGCACAGTTATACCAACAATTGAGCTGTAATTGAAAGCGACTGTCATAAACTGTTGGGATATCAACTACCTTCATCGATGGTTCACCTTGAGTTTTGATTCCAGTATGTTTGATAAGCATTATTTGCCATCGTGAAAAACAATCAAAATTGAAAATACTTGAACCACGACATCGAACCCATGCACGACGATTTGTTGGATCACGATTCCTACCAGATCGTTGAAATTCAATGATTGAAATACTAAAAGTATTTGGAGGTGCACCCAAATAGACTGTGCGCTGCATTTCTTTATCAGGTAATACTATTAATGATTTATTTAATTCCTTTGATTCATCATCCGAAAATGGAATCCATTGTTGATCAGATGATGATTTATATTCTTGAGGGTGTGAGTGTGAGGGTGACGCTGTGAGGGTATCTGCATATTCGAATGTGTTTTATGAAAAGAAAGGAGATAGAACACTTCTTTTCGTTCATATCAGACGTCAACTTCATTGTTAGCGAACGAAATAAGCAGATTTGGCTTACGATCTATCAGCACATCTTAGCATCCAACTTAACTGAAGAGAAAATCAATATAAGCATAATAATGAAAAATCGAGCAACCTTTTTTTCTTCTGCGCTTATCTGATATTTATAGGTTTTTCTTTCGAAGATTGAAAAGAGAAAGAAGAAAATAAATCTATTGCGTCTTTTCAATACACATAATGAATTTGTCCCTGTTGCACTTCCTTTTTATCACCATTAATACGCAAATAGAAGTTGCTCTGTTTCTCTCTGTGAAAACATATATTTAATCGCGCAGCTGTTTTTATCTTCATAATCAAAAGTAAAGCTTTTCATTTGCGATAAACAGAGCTATAAAAAAAATGGTAATTTATATAGAAATCTCGAAGTGTCCAAGCGATTGTTTTGACTGTTTTTGTACTATATATAGTGATAAGCTCCGTCAAAATTCGCTTATCAAACCTATGTGGTCGGGAAATATAAAAGAATTCTTATTCTGATTATTCAGCTAGAGAATTAAACGGTATTGGCATCATTATTTAAGGGATATAAACTAATCGAGTCAATAAAATCACTAATTTAGATATCTTGAGAGTACGAGTGGAGGTAAGTATTATAGCAGTCCATCATACATACCCTCATATCACATCTATGCATGTTATTGTTTTTTTATATCATTCGTCTGTTGTTAGAGTTTGACGAAGTATCACAGCGGACTACGAAACATCACTAGTTTATTGTTAAACTTATTTTATTATTAATATATTAAACCAAAAGAAGAAAATATTTATTTCCATCAAACATAAATTCAATCTTGTGATCAGGAGAAGACAGCAATCTTATAAAATAAAACAACAACATGCACACACAAAACCTACTGGAAAACACTAACTTCTTCGTCTTCGATGATAACTAATTGGATTTTTCTACAACTATATTGTAGTACATCGCCCTTGAAATCTGGATGACGAGGACCGTGACGGCATGGGATCACTTGTGTGATGCAAAAAATATTCGCAGCATTTTTATGCACTTGAAGTATAATGCCTTTACATCGTCGACGATCACCATTTACTTCTTCTGTTTCAACGACCAGATGTTTGTCCGACAAGCACCGATGGGTATCACACATATGAGATGCTAGAAGCAAATCAAACGATGGCAAAAATTTGATTAAAGAAAAAACAATTAACTGACCTTGATTGTGGCCTTTTCTTTTAGACAATAATGGAAGTGTTTCTTTTTTTGATTTTGATATTTTTGATCGTAATACTAAATGGCTCATTCTTACCATGAGCTTCACGATTGATTTTGATTCACAAAATTTGTTCAGTGGAGCTCGTATAGATGGATAGATAGATCCGTTGGGAACTAAGCTTAACCGAGGATAATCAAGTTCTAGTTCACGGCCAAGATCTTCCTTTTTAATTGAACACGTCGTCCAGTCTTCGAGATATGCACCTAAATAGAAAAATAATAGTAATTTAACGCGTAACGAGATTTATAGTAGCGAATTCGGGTTATTCATGCTGACATTCGCTCAGAGGCTTCGACAAAAAGTGGAGGTTTCACTCCAAATACAGGTTAAACATCCTCTATGGTCAAGTATTTAGGCTCCAACCTTCAGTTTTTGTCCCGGAATCTCCTCAAAAGTATTGCCATTTGATAGAAAAGCAAATTCCGCATCCATCGTAAGTAGTTAGAGAGTGATCACAAGTTGAGTCCATCGGGTTCAAGATTTTTGGGTCCGAGACCCAGACTCGATTGATTAAAATTTATTGGATCCAGACCCGGACCCGCATTCCATGTAAAAAACAAGTAGGCAAATCTTCACTTTAAAGTACTCTAAAAAATAATAAAGTGAAATAAAATAATTTTTCCATTTTTTCGCACTTTTCTAACTAGATTCTAGTACTTTTTGGACTTTCTGAAGTCTTTTTAGTACTTTGAGCCTAAACGAAGTAATTAATAACACTTTCATTGGTTTTAGAGTGCATTATAGTACTTTTCACATTAATAAAGTATACAATAGTAATTCTTATACTTTTTAAAGTAATTTGTAGTACTTTTGACCGAATAGGAAGTAATTAATAATACTTTAAGAGATTGATGAAGAATTATTAGGCAATTTTAATATTAATAACGTATAATATATTAATTTCTAACTTCAACGAGCACTTCATAGTACTTCAAAAGAAATCTGGACTACTTTATAGTACTATTACCTTCTGCTGAAGTACTTCGTAGTACTTTTTATATTATTAATATATAATATTCGAATTTCCATACTTCTTTAAGTAATTTATAGTACTTTTTGTATTAATAATATATACAGATTAATTTTTATACGTTTTAAAATGCTTTGTTGTACTATTTGTACTTAAAGAAGTAAATCACAATGGTCATTCATTCTTAGTAGAAACATAATTAGAAAGTATAGAAACTGTATACGTATTAAATATTATTTTAACTTCATTTCAGTACTGTTCAAAAGTAGTCATTTTGCGTACGCAGAACTCGTAAGTACTTAATGGCATTCTAGCAATAGATTAAGCTCTGCCCATTTAATATGATGTAAAACATTTAGCATAAATCAGTTCTAGTGGTGAATAATACTTTTCAACTTGGTCATTATTCTATGTAAAAAATTCGATGTTTTAAACGAATCCTCTTTTATTCATGAATAACGTTTGTTTCGAATCAAACTTTGATAAAACTCGTTTAAATCAAAAATGCTAATGAAAAACACTAGACAGATAAAATATATATTCACTTTAAGAGCTATGCTTCAAGTTCAGAAAACGCATAAACTGGCATTTTCCGTTCGGATGCTCGAAATAATACTCTATAATACTATGAGAACTCATATGAATATCTCCGTAATCGTTCACTATTGCCCACGAGTAGTCAATATTACTTACTTTTCACGTCAATGTGTGCCATTGTTAACAGTTTTTTCCATCATAGATGCAGAATTCAGTATCATAAGTGGATAAGCTATTTAAAATGTTTAGTTGTACGAAACATTATAAACATTCGAACGAATTAAAACCGCTGTGGCATAAAAAAAGACGTCATTCAATACTTATCTTTCGTTCGGATGTTCATAGTGATTCGTACAATTAAATGTTTTAAATAGCCCATCCACTTATGATACTGAATTCTGCATCTATGATGGAAAAAACTGTTAACAATGGAACAGATTGATGTGAAAGGCATGTAATATTGACTGCTTGTGGTCGATAGTGAACGACTACGAAGAGATATTTATGAGTTCTCATAGTATTGTAGAACAACGTATGTATAAACAGTATATAGTTACTATAGCGATAAAACTATTGAAAAACAAGTACTTTTTGTTACTTTTACAAGTAATAAAATAAACTATTTAATGATTGGAAGCCCAATGGCTTAAGTACTTTAGTGCTTTTTCAATTAATAAAAAGCACTTTTCACTTAACAGTATACTTAAAGTCAATTACGAAGGTTTACTGCTAAGTACTTATCTCATTTAAGTAAAAAATGTTGAAAGTACTTACTTAGTGGCCTTTTTAGGTCAAAACATTTACATGGGATCTTAATTACACTCTTTATATACTTTCAAGAATTTTTTTAATGTTTACATCTGGCAGTCGCTCCGCAAGTACGAATTTCTTCTTTTCCGCTTATTTGTATTATTGATTCGCACACTTGACACATATCTCAGATAATCTTGGTGGTAGTTTTCATAATAATCAGGTTATAATTGAGTTTTACTTCTAACTAAAGTTCATCATGTCTAAAAGTTTTGGTCTTGCACCCGATAAAATAAAAATTTTGAACCTGAATCCTGACTCGACCGGGTTTGGGTCTACCCAATGGACTTTAATCACAAGTCTACGAAAGAACGTCAACATGAAAAACTCAAATACCCTGATAACTTTCCCTACATTTATTGAAAATGAGCTATAGGTGCACTCACCAGTATATGAAATAATACTTCTCATTGATTTGAGTTGAACTTGATTTTTGCTGTTATATATGTGATGATGGTTTATTGAAGGACAATAAATACCAGGCGCGAAGATTTCTGCCATTAATGCACTTACTTCGACATCTTCGAGCTCACGGAGAAAAAGTTGGCCAGGTGGTAGTTCTTCTACTGGATCTGTTGATGACAAATGCACTTCAGCAGAAGCTTGTGTTGTTAACAATGGTGCATTTTGTTGTTGTTGTTGTTTCTTTGCTTTCTGACGCAAATTACGAAATCGTTTTTAAATACAGACCCCAATATATATGAACCCAGAGATGACATCAATTTTTTACTTGTAAACGTTTCGTGGTGCAGCCAATGTCACGACTCATTTCTTCAAACTCTTTGGTTGTAGGTCGCGAATTCTTAGAAAATTCAGAAAATGTATATGCCAGACCATCTTTTGTGAATTGTTTTGAGTTTGGATTATAGTAGATAGTGCATGAAGAAGCCATGAGAAGTAAAGCTAATGAATTTGAAAGTGTATTTTGTGTAATGCGCTGTATACAAGAGATAAGATTAATATGCTAATTAGATGGAAGAACAGTTGAAATTCGAAAAATAGAGAAAATGAGGTGTAGAACTGCAACGAACATTATGATTTAACTAATCATATCGGGTGCGGGTGTGGATGTGGGTGTGTGGGTGTGGGGATGTGGGTGTAGGTGTGGGTGTGGATGTGGGTGTGGGTGTGGGTGTGGGTGTAGGTGTGGATGTGGGTGTAGGTGTGGATGTGGGTGTAGGTGTGGATGTGGGTGTAGGTGTGGGTGTGGATGTGGGTGTGAGTGTTCATCTGCTCTTCATCCACATCGACACCCACACCCACATCCCCACACTCACATCCCCACACCCACATCCACACCCACACCCACACTCACACCCCACACCCCACATCCCACACCCACACCCACACACCCATACTCATACCCACACCCACACCCCACACCCAAAGGTGGGCGTACTCTAAACCCAAAACAACATACCCACGTCCATGCCCACCCACAATATATTTCCTTACGTTACGGAGGTTCTTCAACGATCACACTGGGCATTTCACCTAAAACGAAAATTCATTCGCTAACAAATCCTGAGGTACAAACGAGGAATGAATCAATGGTCGAGCCACAACAATTTAACCCGACATCAAATCTAAACATCAAGTTATCAAACATCATTCTGAAAATTTTTTGTTGTTAAGCCTATTGACGCAGCTATTTCGTTTTGTTTCACTTGATTAGATTTGATCTATTATTGAGTGCTATTCGTCTGTGCTGCGGAGCATCGTTTTTAATACTGATGTCGTCAGGTTTTTATTCTATATTCTTTCATCATACAATATACAGTCTTGGAAAATGTAGTCTGATAACATCATTCGACATCAGTTCTGTTACGTAGATTCTATACAATGGTTAAATAGATTTTTCTGTTTATCTCACTTTATACGTATTTGATAAGAATTTGCTTAGAACGCTTTGATTTGTTTTATGTACTGAGTATTGTTTCTAGTTTTACTTCTAATGATGTCAGTTAGGTAAAATTTTTGGAATTGATATGTTGAAAGACTATTTGTCGAAAAGATTTATACGAACCCAACGTCATGAAAACTGACAGTAATCAGATTTTTGTATTCAGAAATATCGCTACTTGCTCCTAAGTGCGAATATATCATGGTGAATCGAGCATTACTTGAATTGGTTGCATTTATGTACGGATTTTTTTTAATGATACGAATGTTTACTAGACTACTTTCATGCTATTAAACTACTCTTGGGTGTGCCTACCTTTCAAACCATATTTTCCCCTTGAATCTCTTGTTTCTTCGATCTCAATTCATGTTGAGTATTTGTCTCCTCCAAGAATTTTTTTCGTATGTAAGCGATTCATATTGTTCTTGACGCATATGCATTGTTTTCAAAACAAGTTTCGTGCACATGGTGCACAGAAAGAAATGTAATAAACTTGGTGATTTATGTAAATGCGAGACAGAGAAATCGAAGCGATACTTCGTAACGTAAGCATGTTTAACAGAACAAGTGATAGATGAAGGCGAACATTGATGTTACATTTGTTTTCTTGATCGAAATCACTTGCTTCATTCTTTTTTCAATGGAGAACACATCGTGTCACTTTTAGCATGAGGCAAATGAGTAAACTTGACGAATATTCTTGATTTCACGCAGCGATACTAAATCGTATAAATGTTGAGAATGTTGTCACACTTATCTGAGTTCACTAAAAATCTTCATTATTTCCATGTACATTTACAAAGTTTGAGACTGTTGAAACACTTCGAATTTGAACATCATTGAACTGTTGGTATTCATAGAAATAAAATTATAGTGTAAAAACATGCTTTATCGAGTGGACTTTTGAGAAGAACAGACGCAAATTCAAAAGTGCGAACTTGCATGATACGTGAGAAAGATGAAATAAAGAATGTTTCATGAGAAATGAGAGAGAAGAAAAAAAAGCTGCCTATCACGCAAAATACAAAGATGTTAAGATGGCGTAAATAACTAATTAATGTTGTTTTTTTCCTTTTTCTCATTAGATGATAAATTCCACTTCTTTTCTGAGTCTGGTAGATTCATTTCAATAACTTCATATGCAGTTTTTTCATGACAATGACAAAATGTTCACTACTGCTTCTATTCGTGATTATTATGCAACCACTTTCGGATAATACGTGCTCAATAAAAATATTTACGATGATAAATCACGAATTTCAATGTATTGACACAATTTATGAACCATTTAATATTGTTATAACTAGTCAATGTGAATTGTTCATAGTAGCATCGCGTTAAAGATGCATCATGTCGAGAAACATGGGCACTTAAAGGATACCGTCCCTTCGTGATATAGATTGCATAAATTCTGAAAACAGTATACTTGTGAATCTTATAAATCAAGACTTTTCAACAAAGAAAATAGCCAGCACAAAGGAAATCTCCTGTCCAATTCGATGTTTATTCATTTATTTAAGTTGAGGTTACACATCTATTGAATGACATACGTATTGGATGTAAAAGGAAAAAAACAAAAATCAACGATCGTCAAATAATTAAAACAATAGTTGTTTAACTTAATATGAAAGAAAAACCTACTGAGAGTGCTTGAATGATGTCGAAGAGTACCTTGCGATCATGAATTAGTTTGCGTGAAAACAAATATAAAATGATACACACAAGACGAACTGGTAGTTCTATGAAATATGTCATCTTTCATGCTTATCTTGGCATGAAGTCATGCTATGATAGCTGGTTCTTGATTGACGATCTCGGTAGTTTTTAGTTAATCGTTTTTATTTTTTCAGCCCCAGTGTGTAATTTAACGTTTGATTTGTTGTTTGACAATTTATTTCCTGCACATTATTTGTATTTTTGCGGACCCTTATGTCAGATTGCATTATGGCCTATGCTTATATTCAGTAGCCATAGATTCTGATTTAATCCACAGAAACAAGCTATTACACACATTTAAATAATTGTAAATAGCTATTAGTGAAGATGTGCGAGCGTTCTTCTTCTCTTCACCCACAACGACACATCCTCATTTTCTCATGATAGATTTCAAAACATACATTGTTTGCATAGTTTAAATTGTTTACTCTAATAAGAGCTCGTGAATCATTGATGTGACACGAATTTTCTTACTTGCTGCAGGAAAATAATTTGTCATTTTCTTTTTTTACGATTAAAACACTTTTTTAGAACTTAACAGCAAATTCCATACGAACGTCAGCGACTCTATTCGATAAGATTTTTCTAGAACTCTTGATAGTGAGAGATTGTCTGCTATCAACTAAGAAAATACATAATAAGTTCTTTTGATCGGGTTGACTCTTTAATTTGAGAAGACACTTTGAACTATCATTCCGTATGGTCAGTCTAAAACCGACAAGCGAGTACTCTTAAAAGATTCAATGTGACAATTATTAGAAGATAAGATGTTCAATTAATCGATAAGAATTTATTTTATGATGCTATTCTACACTCTACTAGTCTAAGGTCAAGTGAAGTGCCACCCGACTAATCTTATTTATTATTTATTACTACAATCGAAAATAAGACTATATAGAATTGTAAAGCATAAGATAATTTCGATTTCTCACTGTCACTAGATAATTCATTGTAGTTTACTGATCGATTACCATATTTTTGTAACCATTTAAACTCTTCTCGAACTTTTACTTTTCCATACCAAGGATTATTATTCAATGAGTGTCCTTCCTTTGGAAAAGTAATTAATTGTACTGGTATACCAAGATAATGAAGACCTCGTTCTAATATATAGCTTTGACTTGCAGGAACTCGATTATCATCTTCGCCAGTAACAATATGTGTAGGCGTACGTACTTTATCTAAATAATAAATAGGTGCTTCATTTTGATAAGTATGTGGTACTTCCCATGGAAATCCTCCAAGCAAGTAGCTAAGTAGTATAGGTAGATCCATCATACCCCATCCTGAAGTATGATCAACAAGGCCAGCACCAGATAGAGCAGCATTAAAACGTTTAGTCTGTGTAATCAACCAATTTGTTAAAAAACCACCATAACTATAACCACCGATAGCAAGTCTTTGTGGATTAACAATGCCATCTTTAATCAATTGATCAATCCCATAAAGAATATCTTTTCCTGGTCGAGATAAAGGCCTATAACGAACTTCATTGATAAATTGATCACCATAGCCTGTTGATCCTCGATAGTTAGGTTCTAATACCAACCAACCTTCTGAAGCTGCTAATGTAGCCCAATCATACCAAGCTAGGTGAAGTATATTTAGACTAGCCCAATAGGGACCACCATGAATAAGAACTAAAAGAGATAGATTTTTAGATTCAAAATTGCCAGGTGGATAATGAAGTATTCCTTCAATCACTTGATGATCATCTTTATTTATCCAAGTGTACACTTTTGTTTTCGGTAGATTTCTTTGAGTAAATAAGTCATTTTCATTGGTTATTGCTTGTGCTGATTTCAATTGATCAATATTGTTAATCAAATAAATTTCCATTGGTTTTTCGAATGATGAATAAACAAATACAATTGATCCATTATTAGGTGATGACACAATCGATTCGTATGTTCCATTCCATCCATTATGATAAATTAAATCTTCTGTTGGTGATTGTTGTGTATAAATTTGTACTTCTGTTCCTAATTGTCCAAGTATATAAACACTAGAATTAGACTTGGGTGTGTATCCAAAAATACTACCACGAAATTTTTCTCCTAAACGTGTTATTTGTCCGTTCATTAAATTTAAAGAATAAAGACGATATTGTGTATCGTTAAATTTTCCTCTATTCGAACTGAGACTAATCGTTCGGAATAGTAAATGTCGACCATCGGCCGACAAATGTAATTCCATTTCGAGTGCTTCATTATTTGTTAATTTTGATAATGCTGATGTATTTCGAAGATCAATTGCATATAGTTCAAAATCATCTAAATTTTCGATTAGTGTAGATGCAGATGACAGGATGAGTTTTTCTTCAAATGAAACATATAATAATTGACTGATGAGAAAGGATACATTTCGTATGATGTTTCTTTCCACAGGTAATAAGAGATTATTTGAATTGAGATCAATACGATAGATTGTGCTACCTTTACGCATTATACTTTGTCGATATTGAACAGCATCTTTCCATTCATCTTTATACAAATCATTCTCTTCAGCTATTGACTGCAAATTAATAGTAGCTAAGTAAAGAGATGAATCATTGTTAGACCATGTAAAAGTTAGAAGACTATCATTTCCAATTTGAATAGGTAATAGTTCATCTGATATGAGAGAATATAAATATATATATTGTTCTGATTGTTGCTTATTTTGAGTATCATCAGTCGTATTTACCGATGAATGATTTTTTGGTAATAATGCAATGTAATTACCGCTTGGTGACCATTGTGGTTTGAGTGATTTATGAAGATTTGTTGTAATTAATTTTTTTGTTTGATTTTGTATATCATAGAGCCACAAAGTATTCTCATAAGAACTAGTATTCCATGATGAACGTCTTGTTTGAATAAGCAAATGTTGACCAGTTGGAGAAAATCTCAATAATGGAAACATAGTATAGTCGAAAAATTCATCGAAAGTTAATTTTGGTTTAGTTTCAGCGGAAAAACATGAAAATAATTGCAAAATCAAGAGTAAGTATAAGTGCATTAACATCACTACGATGATCTAAACAGGGAAACAAAATCATTCTATGATCTTATCTGAAATAAGTCTCAGTAATGTAGTTCACTTCCAACGAAAAAAAAGGAGAGATATCATTGTAAAAAAATAGAACATGTCTTCCATACGTTCGATCATTTCATTGTTTTCATGATACTTTTATTCCTCAGTAATATTCTATAGTGAAGTCGGAGTAGTTTTCATGAGATATCAAAAACACTAAATAAAGAAGTTATTCATAATTTTTATCATATTTTCAGTCAGTTTCTACTAAAGACAAAAAAAATAGTATGAAAAGATTCTCAGATAATTACATATTATTTAGTTAGTCTTAGAAAATTATCTAATATTAAATCTGCCTTGTTTTGTTTTTTTTTGTAAGTTGCGAGATTTTAATTAATACATAGTTGATTCAATAAAACTCTGATATTCAAATCAAATATTCTATAATTACTTTGTATTTATATCTGCATGTTTATCGACGTAATTGATTTTTGTTCTCGAAAGGAAATGTATTCAATCATTCATTTTTATTGCTCCTCATAATGTAATACGTCAAAACGATTTATGCATAAATAGTGTACTATATATAAATGTCATAAATAAAATCTGGTTGACTGAAAAAAGTCACTAAGAAATTTTATTAATGAAGATATTATGATGGGAAAATCTAATAAGTAGTACCATTTTATGAAGATATTTCTAGTATGGTAGATATCTATCAAGTTAGAATCTAATGAAGAAATATAATACCGCGAACAGTAATGAGTATATATATCGTCTTATTCATTGAAAATGATCTTTCAACCAAAATCGTTAAAGATAAAGCTGAAATGCTTAGTTCTCAACACAACGATTGGAATAGTCACTTTATATCATCTTTAATAAAATGACTGAAACTACATAGATCTACCACTCTGAAAAAAAAAATTTCTCTTTCGTATTTGCACCTTACCGACAACGAGAGAAATATAGACAATGATGGTAAGTAAAAATAATACCAATATGTTATTTATATGAAAAGGTAAACTTTTGATCGACATTATCGATACAATACTTGTTTCTACAAATAGACACGTTTTAATGTAAATTGATAATCTTCTTTTTCAACCTTTTATGTTATCTCACTCTTCCTATGTATTCCTTTCATAGATTTTTCATTCCAATTATAACAACCGCTGCCATTTGATGATATATATACAGTGAGTACGAAAAATTGATTAACAAGCAAAGTCGGTTTTCGTTTTTTCGTGTACAAAGTTGTTGTGTCAATAATTCAATATTTTGTCGAATACTCCTTCATACAAAAACATTCTAATAAATGATTCAGGACAGATTCCACCAATGTTCTTTTTTATGTCTAGGCGAATTGTTTTTCATTTAGCACGCAGTGTTTCTCAGAGTTGGATGTGGGTATGCCAAGAACAATCATGACGCATTTCAATTTTGCTTAAGGCTCTCATCGGATGGCTTTTGACTTGGTATCTGTAGTATAGTTTGTGTTACTCTTGATGAGAATAATTGAAGCATGATATTTCGATCTTTCATAATGTCTTCGTTTAGCGAAATGATTTTAAGAAGCTTGTTCGCCATGTCTATGGTGTCGATTTTTTCTGATGATGATTGATGGTTTTTGAGAAGTCTAATATGAACCTTTCATGAGCAAATTAGCATAAGAATGGATCTATGACTTAGGGGCGACAGAAGCAATCCATTACATCAACCATATAAAATAATATGAAGCAACATTTAACAAGGTTGATTTGTATGTCAAAGAGATTGAAGAAGATTTAAATGATTATGACGACAATGATTATAGCAGTTATAGTAAAGATGATGCTGATGATCGATGGCCATTTTGATGAATTCATATGAACAACCAAAAATTCGTTTTGGTTGATCGATTTGAATTCAGAAAATTTTTGCTATGAAAATATCAACAAAATAAAGATTGAGGAGAACTAATTTAAGATATTGATTTATTAGCATCAAAATAGATTTAATGTATGGTTTTTTGATGATATTTCTAGAAGAAAAAAAAATTTCAAAGTTTAATAGATCATATCATGAAGTTGAAGATGACTAAGAACTTGTAGAAGAAAATATTTAGTTAGCTATTTAGATTTTGGAAAACTGTAATGAGAAGCCTGTAGTAAAATCTTTATATTTTTTGATTGCAAACAGTTATCGATCTCGACCTTGTGTGGATCGATAGAGAAGAAGCTGGACTATTTTTCCATGATACTATAGATAAGAAAGCATATTGTTTTTATGACAAATTAAGCTGATTTTCAAAGCTCATGATGTATTCAAGAAGAAAAGTGACTGGCATTTTCCATTGACTTCGTAAAAAAAAGAGAGAGAAAGAGAGCAATGTCGACTCTAAATAGTGCTAAAAACTCGCGTTATTTGTCTCTTGTTGTTTTAAAGTTAGTTAAAAGACGCTCTTAGTCACTTCACTCTGAAATGGACAATAGGTAACTCTGCAAGTCATACATACACGATTTTCAAGGACGTGGAAATGAAGGAAATCTTTGAGAAGTTAGATGTTTTATTTTGATATTATGCCTTGAAATGTTTTACCAGAGTTCATCTTGACCGTCAACTATAAATGATGCTGCCCATCCGATACCATTTGCAAGTGAAAGGTTGAATTTTGTCGCTCAATAGAAAAACAAAGAAACCAATTTCATAAGTGCTTATTAATTGAAATATGATTACAATTTAAATTAGTGATCACCTTTTCATGATACAAAATTTTATGCTTTAATAGAATAAGCGAGCTGCCTATTAGAATATTTTAAAATCTTTTCGCAATTTAATTTTCGAAGTAAATACATCTAATACCCAGCAATAAAAACAAAAAGAAAATGAACTTATACATTTTTTTAATGTTATATCTCAATGTCTATTTCATCATCTTTTCACAATGATAATGATACTGTTGTTTATCATTTGGGTGAGGATATGGGTGTATGTGTGGATGTGGGTGCGAGTAAGTGCAACTAGCCGGTATTCACACCCACATCCTTCGTATCAAATGATGAACATTCTTTCTCTTAAATTAGACTTCTCTAAGAAATGTATTGATGAAGATAAATCTTTTCGATTAAGTCTGTCGCAAAAAGTGTTTCAAGTCAAAAAATTCTATTCTCTCAGTTTGTGACTTAAGCAGATGCATTGATCTAAGCAGATCTCATTAAGTCTCCAGCTGAGAATACTCACAAAAAGAGTAATTTGTCTTGGCTCAAGTCAAAAACATGTTCCATGATGATCTCAAGCACGTATTCAGAAGTTTTTTAGAAGGAGAATCACCATTTACTGTTATTTTATCATCAATAGATAAAGCAATCTGCATAGCTACAACAAAAGTGAAACTTATGGAATTGACAATATGATATGAGCACTAGTCTTTACCTCAAGGAGAAACAAATGAATTTGTATAATATTAAATATGCGATTCAATGCAGGGTGTAGGTGTGGGTAAAAAGAGCATCATTATCCACATCCACATCTACACCCTTGTATTGGTGTACCGGTGTAGCTTTGAACGAATATATGTTGCAAATTCGATTTTCTCGAACAAGTTTTAAATTGTTATATGATGTTGAGAAATTTTTTCTTGATGTATCGAATGATCCACTTGATGAGATACATGATCGTATTCAATTAATAATGGAGTTTTGTACGCGTGATATTAATGTTGAAAAGTTAAAGGTTCAAGCACATATGATTTCTGATTTTTTCAAATCTGTGATTACTACAAAACAAATGAAAATCAAACAAATTACAAAAATGTCAACCATTTGTGAAGTTTTAAAATCAATGGATATTGGTAAACAAATGTTTTCAGAATATCACAAATTAATTAAACTTTATTTAATTATTCCTGTAACCACAGCAACCGCTGAATGGGCATCCTGTGCTCTAAATTGATTAAAAAGCACATTTCGAGCTTCTATGAACCAATCACGACTTAATCATTGTTTATTAGCACATATATATAAAGAAAAACTTGATGTAATAGATCCAAATTAAATAATGTCAACGTTTATATCGTCGAATGAGAAGAGACAAGCACTTTTTGGATTATTAGTGTGATGTGAAAGTGAAATAAATAATGCTTATGTTTTTTGAAATTTCTCTAGTTCTATAGAGACTTATAAACGCTTTCGTCAACGAAGGCATTGATAAGAGAAAAAACTGACTTAGGATAATAAAAAAATTTCCACTGAGCCTCACTAGATTTGGAAATGCTTCGTCGCCCATGGTCACAAAGTGTGTAAGGCGTGTTGGTTACTGAATCTAAATAAGCGAAAAGCATCTTTTGCCTTTGGAGCGACTATATAGATAGATTAAAAGATTTTATTGATGATATTATGAGTGTGGATCGGGTTTGGGTTGGATTCAAAGAAGTTTAATCAACAGGGTCCAATCCAAGTTCAGCTCTGAACAAAACTATTAAACCAGGTCTGAGCCGCAACAGAGTTTGAAAGACGTTCAATAAGCCGATTCGCACTCCGAGTCCGAAAGTTCTGGATCCGACAGATTAATCTTCAACCTCACTAGTATCACAACTCGCACTTCAGTTCGATAAACAGCAAATTTCGAGTACTGAACACCGACCAGACTCAAGTGGATCCTGGTAAGATTGGGTGAGGCTCAGAAGGCAACATTCATATCCACATAAGTCTCGATACGGTGGTGTCACGCGTGGAAATGCCTGTACGTGGAAGTGTCACGCGTGGAAA